GGCAGCCCAGAATGGTCACCATGAAACTGTATCAGTTTTACTGGCAGCTGGCGCAGATGTGAACGCACGGGACATGTTGGTAGGTAGACTAACTATTGTGATACAAGAAATATTTCTGTACCATTTTGTAAGATTTGACATTCATTTTTACATAACGGCTGATGTGGTGACTACCTTTAGAGTTGCCAACGACATGAACATTTGTTCGTTCTGTTCTCGTGCTAAAGACCATTTAATGTCAGTTGTATAGCAGTTTACTTGCTGAACTCCGTTAGAATTGTCAACAAAATAACTGCACATTTGCCCGACCTGTTGTCATGCTGAAGACCATCTGATGTGTTTTACAGCAAAACTCTCCCCATACACCTGGCAGCCCTGTATGGTCACCATGAAACTGTATCAGTTTTACTGACAGCTGGTGCAGATGTGAACGCACGGGGCAATAGGGTAGGTAGACTGACCACTGTGACACTGAAATATTCTTATGTCTCTTATAGGATTTGACATCTATTTTCAGCTGTATAGCAGTTTACTTGCTGAATTACGTTAGAATTGTCAAACAAATAACTGCACATTTGTCCGACCTGTTGTCATGTTGAAGGCCATCTGATGTGTTTTACAGCAAGACTCTCCCCTGCACTGGGCAGCCTGGAATGGCCACCATGAAACTGTATCAGTTTTATTGACAGCTGGTGCAGATGTAAACGCACGGGGCGAGTCGGTAGGTAGACTGATTGCTGTGAAACAAGAAATATTTCTGTATCATCTTGTAAGATTTGAGATTCATCTTCTTAATCTTCTTACTCAGTGGTTTTATTTGCTGTCTATAATTTATCTTGTTGCCAACATGAAACTGGTACGGATTGGAACGTATGGGGCTATACAGCACTGCTTATCAACCGTCAGAATACGCCATACATTTCTCGATGTCATAAATCATGGGTTGCACATACATTATTATGCATATATTGCTCTGTATATGTACAATTTGGGGCTATTTTCGTGCAACGCATCACACCGCAGCAAAACGCAACGAATGTGAAAGTAAGTATGCCATTACATTGCAATAAAGGTCAGGGGTCGATGACCTGATTAAGACACGAAATTGAAAAATATTGTGCAAAAAATGTCAGCAGGACATGATTAAAATTGTAGTGCTACCGTTATTATCCATTATTAGAAACAACCAGTATGAATGGCAAAGTTAGGGAATGGTTTCAAGCGAGCTTGGAGTCAGTAAGTGATGTAAATATAAACATTCATAAGGTGTTGCTATTTGATTATACTAAGGATGAAAAATTGCACTGTCAATGCCCCAACAGGAAGACACACCCCTCCATTACGCAGCTAGATGGGGCTACACCAAATGTGCGGAAATACTGCTGCAGCACGGGGCTGATGCCGGTCTCAGGAACAAGGTCAGTCGGTTCATCGGCTTCTCTGGTAAATAGCTGACCACCAATCTAGAAATACAATATTGGCTTTACTTCTTTTGGGAGAAAAATTGATAAAAAATGATGACCCACATCATCATGATGACATTACTGTCCGAGGCAAGGAGGAAGCTGTTGTTGGGATAAACACACAAATCACGATGTGTTCTGATATTCCTGCATCGTATCACATAAACACCTACAAACCTATATCTTTCTAGATATGGGCTTTGCTGCTGTACCTACGGTATACTGTGTACTATATATGTTTTAGATGCATAATATATATTGTCTACTCATTCAGTCGTGTTTTTTTTTTCAAAAATTTTTAACATTCATAAGGCTATAATTCACTGCGTATTCATTCCCAGTGGCAGTGTGGTGAAACGGCAGAGGACATCGCTGCAGATGAGTACATCAGTGACGCTTATGCGGACGACGAAGATGAGGAAGAACAAATCACTCGTGGTAGAAGGGAAATACTGAAGCTTCTCCGACAACAGGATAATGTGAGTCGCTTCAAAACTTACGTAATGCAAAATCATAAAGCATCATATCTAAAGAATATGATTGAGATGACTGTTAATTTCTTGTCAAACACTTCTGTTCACCAACAACTACTGTTAATATTAAACTACAAGTTGAAGATGATATAAAGTTGTTTTTAGTTACCCTGGTACGCGTGCTAGTGTATTTGAATTGTTGTGTTCTGCTTGGCAGGCTGGAGAGAGATGCATTATGACTATCATCAGAATTGCGTAGAAACATTTAGTTACGAGCGCAGTTAGATGGCATCTGATCTATCTATAGAGATATGTACTTGAATAAATATACATGTCCAATTTCAGCCTACTACAATGACCAGAAGTGTGTCAGAAATAATCTTTGTAGAACCGCCTTCATGCCAAACAAAACTCACTTTCACGTGTGCGTGTTTACAGGAAGTCTCGACACGTAAGAAGGAATACGATCCTGTACTCGTCCGGTTCTATGAAGAAAGAGGAATGACCGAGGCGAAGAAGGATTGTCCGTTGATACAAGAAGCAGCTAAGGAGAGCGGGAAAACAGTTGAACAAGTCATGGTATCACCAAATATATTACACCTCTTACATCCCTATTGACAAGATAGCTCTCTAAGGTCGACTACTACATAGTCGATATTAATTATGGGTGGTTAATACAAATTGCTGTACATTTCCATAACTGCTCTTCCCCAATCCCCATCTACTATCGGTGGCAATATCAAACAGGATATCTTACATTTAGTCCATCCCCTTTGTCTGTAGCACCCTCCCCCCTTACAAACCGTCTATCCTTAGTCCCAGAACAGGTCTAACTGTGTCTTTGGTGGGTAGGTTCCAGTGGCGAAACAAGGAGAGGCATCCTCTGATTTGTTGTATCGAGTTATCACCAGGTCTGGTCAAACATGTCAAATATGATTTTCAGTGGTGTGATAGTGCCTGTTCCGCCATACCTGGACTTAAACTTTGACAAGTAAACCGTGTTTCATAGAGAAATTTATAGACAACAAAAAATGCAGCGACTTTTGTAAGGTAGTCATCTACATGTAGACATGCAGACAGATACGTGGGTACAACAAAATTGACCTACGTACAAGACAATAGATGCATCAACTTATTACCCTTTCAGAACTTCATCGGTAACTACCGTAAGAGTAAAGGCGGCAGTAAGAGGAGACCGCCACCAGACACGATGGAGAGGAAGAGGAGGATCACGGGATATCACGAGTACTACAGGGAACAGCTGCCAAGGAAAAGGAGTGAGTTGAAATGGCAGTTATAATTGTTTACGAACATGTTTTAACTATTACAATAGCAATATTCAGCCGATCATTTTATTATCCTTTCGAATACTTTAGTTGTAGTAAATGGACCGGTAAAAGTTTACCTTCACATGGTGTCTCTCTAGCCTGGGTACCATCCTACTTGTATGCCGGGGCTCCCACAGTCGCTTCTTAGGGGAAGCGACTGTGGGAGCCCCGGCATACAAGTAGGATGGTACCCAGGCTAGTGTCTCTCTATATGCATTTATATAATGACCAGACTCGTCAACTCTGCCCTGCTACAAAATGTAACCGAACGCCACATAGTGTCTGCTACAGCACTAGTTACCATGGTGACAGACGTCTGGTTCAGGTCATTGATCTTGTGTGTTTGGAGAATCGAAGAAAAGACGAAACAGAGTATAAACAATATGTTTTCCTCTTGCGAAGGTAAACATAATAATGCTTCCTGTGTCACAATTATGTCAATGAAGTTCACATAATCATTTCATTCTCTTTTCAAATGTTTGCCAAGTTCACCCCAACGTATTTTTCAAGTATTTAACTTACTGCATGTTTTGTGACTGTCTTACCATAGCATACTGTAGGTACATTTTAGATACGGTGTTAGTATCGCTTACGAAAAGTATTCGAAACATCAATTTTATGGACATCCACTGGACTTCTGTGTATTGTAGGTAAACTGTATGTAACACTTTGTCGTCTTGCATTTTGCTTCAGCCAACCAAGGATTCTCCCTTGCCGGTGCCAATAAAGAAATCGGTGAGAGCTGGAAGAACCTGACTGACGAGGAAAAGGAGGGATACAACAAAGCAGCAGAGAGGAGAAGGGACAAAGAGACGAAAGTCAAAACTTCCTCAGAAGTGGCGAAAAAGCTGAAACAGCTCGAAAAACTGGTGGGTGTAAGAATACGAACATGTTCCTGGACACTTGAAGGATTGTTTAAGAGCAATCATTCAAACGTAGTATATAAAATACCATCAACATCCTTTGAGTCAAATTGACAGATATTTACGATCCATTTGTTATCCCTTATTTGAATCAGAAACAGGTATTTGTATGTAGGTTCCACCCTGTAAACGTAGTTTTTGTTGATATCAGTATCTTCTCAACATATGTGCATGGAAAATGGCTTAAAGTGTCTACAGAATAATGTAGTTTGCTAGATGTTTGAACAATAAAGAAGAATTGCGTCCAAGAACGATCATTTCGAAGGTTGCACATAGCATATAAATGCAATTGGAGCTTTGTTGTTACTTTTAGTCCGAGGAACTTGGCGAACTTGGTGTGGAGGCTTTGATGGTAACTCTCTACAATGGAAGGATCCGAGCGTTCGGGTCCCAGAAGGATCTGGTAAAGGACGAGAAGTTCGGGGGCTACATCGAGAATCAGCTGAAAGCAGCAGAACATCAGAGGAAAGCAAAACAATGTGAGACAGCCATCTTCTACATTGGTCATGAAACATTTAGGCCTGCACATATTAAAACCATTTCATTAATGTGTTAAACGTATAAATACATCAATCTTGCAGGTAATCATGGTAGATGGGCAACACCTGTACATGTCATGTTTCATTAAGTAGATCAACCAGGAAAGGCAGTGTAGTCTTGCGATACCTCTCAGTTCTACATTTGAATTGTGTTACGTTACTTTTGTTATCTAAGATTCCTGCCATGCAGGCTTTTACGGTTCGGGGGCAGCCATGTCGAAAAAGTTGTAAAATTCAGTTCTATTGCTATCTTGATATACATCTATCTGTACAGGCTTAACAATGGACAGACGCCAAAGGAATTCGGACAGAGAGGGCACCACAGGAACGACTGGAGAGAGCCATGACGTAACCGGAAGGCCCAGGAGCAGCACCAGTTCAGTCAGTAAGAGAAGGAAGAAGAACAAAGAGGCACAGCAGGGTAACCAGCAAAATTCCAGTTCTGCTGCCTCTTTACCGTCGGCATCTTCAACACAAGGTAAGCGGTACATTTTGTTACATGATGTTCGTCCATCGCAGTCGATAAAAGTAACAAATTGGCAGAGCTTCTGTAGATCTATGGTATTGTTCATAGGAATTCCCGAACACAATTTCTATACACCAATGATTAACAGTTTGCTACTGCTAGATACGAATCTTGCCTAGTATGTAGTTATAGTTGTGTATTGCTTCATTTCGCCCACTTCCTTATGTCATGGTGTAATTTGTAATTATCACAGCCTCCAACACAATTTGTACCTCTTACATGAAATAAAGCAGTTGGACGTTTCCAATGTTGGTCCTTATTTTTAAATATCAATTTGGATTACCATGATGAATATTGACTGAAGGAGGGCATAACTCATCTTGAACATAGATGTGAATGTAACTATGTATGTAGTAAAATTGATGGATTCCTGTTCCAGTTGAAGTCACTTGCAAAAATGTGTTTTTCTTTCTCCAGAGACCACAGTCACAACAGAAGGACTTCTACCCATAACAACAGACATACCACACAACACAGGGACTCCTGTACATGTGGTATTACCAAACATAGCAACATCTACCCCTGCACAACCAAACACAGTGAATCTTGAACTTCTGGCACAGCAGTCAGCATCACTTCTAGATCCACTCAACTCTCTCCCTGCATCACCACACAACACAGGGACTCCTGTACAGCTAGCACCACAAGCAACTCCAACAGAATCACAGACAGGTTTTCGCTACTTGTACAGATCCAACATGCCTCTTGAACTTCTGGTACCGCAAACAACTCAAACAGCATTTGCTGTTCGTCAAGTGCCTACAGGTGTGGACAATTTTAATTCCTTTGGACTTCCCGACAGAACAGCATCACTGAACCTACCTGCTGCCCTGCCAACATTTCAAATGCAAGGTTGGTACCTGTAGTTGGTTTGGAACATCCATACCTTTGTCAGAAGCTGTTTGACAGACTTTGCCAATATTTTCTTTGTCTCTGCCTTCCTACAACAATTCTATACATATGGCTCTACATACACTGATTGTTGGTACTGGCTGGTACAAGAGGTGTGTTAAGTTTATTTGATATTTACCTTGCAACCTATTGTTTCACATTCCACAGCAACGGTCTACGGTATTAGGACCTATTTCTTCCAATATTTGAAGTGGAACAGCATTGGTCAATGAAACTTTTAAGTCAGTCCTTGGGACGTTCGTATATCAAATATAAAACTATTCCCTGTTAGGATCAACAACCGTGACAACAGGAGGACTCCCACACATGGCACCGCAGATCCGAACACCAGCGAGCTTAGGGACTCCTGTACCATCCCAGGTGACTCCAACGGTTCGTCAGGCACCTACAGGGGTCGGGACCACAAACGAACAGTTTCCTCCCAGCCCGTTAGTATTTGCAATGCCTCATCATCGCTAGATATACAAGCAGATATCTCAATACATATATATGCCATTATGGAAGTTGTTGTTCAGTAAATATGTTGTAATATGCTCTATCACATAAATTACATATACATAACAATGTATTAAAAGCATGGATCAAAGTTGGTATCTAGATAAGGCATTATGAGAGTTCTCAAAAGTGGCATCTTCTATTAAGACGACAGTATTCAGGTGCAGTACACCGGTACCTGACCTCTTTGTTTACTAGCTGTGTGACCTCGGGCACCTGCCTCTGACGTCACTGGTCGCTAGGATACCAGGTCAGGGCGGGGGCACGTCGTACGTGTCAGTAGAAAGTGAAAGAGTTTCTGTCGCCTTTTGGGACTTTCCTGCGCCAAAATGGGACTTTTTATACGCGATAAACTATTGACGCTGTGGCAGAAATGTTGAAGAAGCCGACTGTTGGAACAGGGTACAGTGGAGAGTGTTTGATTCACTCTGTGGACCGGTTTTATTCAACACCCTGCCTCGGAACGGAACCATTCAAGCGGCCATGTTGGTATGGACAGAAGTACCATGGATATATTATATTGGTGAACATGAACGACATAACTATGGCTAAACAGGCTATTTAGGACTTAAAGCTCAGTTTGGGAATGATAAGGATGCTTTATTTTCTGGATCTGCAGTTGGCATAGAAAATAGGTGAGTAACCATAGGGTTTCACGTATGTTTGTAATGTAATGTAAGTTATCCATGTGAAGTGACCTTAGTTGCTTCCAGTAAAGACACAGTAGATCTGCAGTGATTATTTGTTCTTCAGTGTTTTAGATTTGTAGCGAGTAATCAACACCAGTGGTACGAGGTTACTTTATGACATGTAGGTTCTAACTTTTGTGAATGACCAAACGTTGATTCACAGTAATGAAAAAAATGACATTCTTTTGCCTTCCTTTTGCCTATTGTACAATACTCTGATCTGCAATAAACTAGATGGATATACAATGCCTTTGTGTACTCCCGTATTTTTACACTCCATGGAAAATTTAGTTAAAAAGGAGATAGCTTTGCCTTTCTACTCGTAAACGAAGTGAATAAGTCTAATTAAGTATTTCGTCAGATCTGAAATCTACAAATGCTGTTATGTGCCCAAAACACGACCTGACAGTATTTTAGTGTTGTACTGAAATGGTAGCCATTCTCTTTAACGTAATGCAAATCTGTGAATCTTACTCATATACATCAATGTCCTATTTTATGTCATTCTGGAACGTTGAAACCACTATAACCAGAATGCTACAACCATGATAGTAATGCAATGCAAGCAGCCTATAATTACATGTTATTCGAGAAAGCCAAACAGGTGCAATGGCGTCGTACATGTTGTATTCTGTTCAGGTAAGTAATCATATAATCTCTAGTTAGACATAGCAGCAGCAGTAGTTCTTGTTGATTGTCGTTGTTTTTTTGTTTTTTTGCCCCCCTTCCCCTCGGTCCTTTTGTGTGCCTATAATATTACGTTGTTCTGTCTGTGGTGACGTGATAGTTCTCTACAACACAGGCCACATAGATCTTCAGTCCTGTGTCATTGGTACCAGCCTGGTCATCACGTCTACCCTTCGCCACAGACTCTGAAGTATTCAAGATAAAAACACGAGTTAGTAGCAGTATTACCCTGTACCATTAAGAGTTACACTTGAAATGGCTTCAAACCATCTGTGCAATGCTTTTGAATTTCATGTCATCAAACAGAAGCTCAAGTGCATGCTAGAAATATTATATATTTAGCCTGTGTCAAAACAAAATGAGTACCTTTGTCGCCTGTTACATGGTAGGTCCGGTTGACACAACCCCAATAGATTGTACGTCCACCATTACTATGCTCGGGTCCGTCCACTTGTGTGGGAGGGGGTTGAGATTCGTCCTCTGAAATAGAATTCGGTGACATGTAATTGTTGGCTTATAACTTCGACATAAACATCGGTGTAAGAGCAAGACGACATGCATTGTTCATTGTTGACACCCTGACCTCTCTAGAATGAAATCTTACGTTTACCACTGACTCACCAATTTGCTGCCCATTGTGCGGCACAAAGGTCTTTATTTACGCAGTAAAGCATTCAGTACGGCTACAGGTTATTCTCGTACAACAGTCAGCTGCGGAAGCTATGGCTTGTACCAAGCTTGTCCTTAACTTTTCTCTCTTTCCGCTTGTAACCTATTTTAGCTTTGGTCGTTTTATATCAGAGTTACACGTTTAAATACACAATAGTTTCACGTAGTTTGTTAAGGCACTAAATGTTGTGGCAATTACTTGTTTCTAACATGAATGCACAGTAAGCACTCAGTCATTCAGACTCAAATGAAACATGTCTTATTGAGTATTTACGTTCCTTAAGACAGCCATGGAGGCAATGGCTTGTATTTAGCGCGACCAACCTGATGTCAGATTAGCTTTTCTCCCGCTCCGTTTCATGGTCATCGTTGGTCAATTTCATATCAGAGTTACCCATACACAGAGTACTTTTACGGATTTTGTTAAGTTAAACATTCAAGTGTCCATTACAAATGACACAAATGAACAGTGAACACACGACTTAAGACGACCTCGTCAAAACTTAAAATCGCGCACTAAGATATAATCATACCTAGATGTTACTATAATTTTTTAAATGTAAGCAACGTCCATATGACATGTTATCATCGACCGGCTAACATGTAATAGTTGAAAATGCTTTTGCTCTTCCGATGTTATCAATCAAGCTTTGAAAAAAATGAGTCGCATGACAAAAACATTTCAGGCAGCAATATTCAATTGGAGGATCATGTCACAAAGACTACAGTTTGTAATAATCGCACGTAAATGGTCCTTGGAATCCTTACGACGGATAGTGAAATTCTACCAGTGGTACCACTGTCCCCGGGATTGACACTCGAAGAAGAGGTAACTATACGTGTAGACATGTGCATAGAAAACAACCTTACCTGTCTTAGGCTTGGTGTTCAGCCTCTTGTAGTTTTTATAAATGTCCCAGAGTTGTATTCCGAGTCGAACGATTCGCAAAAAACTCATGTTGTAGCTTACTACCGTACCCGCTCCCTGCTTCGATAAATATTAAAGTAGTAGTTGTACTGTGACTAGTATTGTGACGGAAGGTGACCGGAGTAATCTTTGACAGGCGACAGAGTGTGTGCACAAGTTGGACGGAGTTAGGAAAGTCTATCACGCAGGGGTACAAGCAATCACATTGTTGTGGTTCCAGGCATTTGGAAAAGGTTTTCAAATACATTTGTCATAAAAAAATTATAAAAACAATCTATAAACTGAAATTGATAAACAAATATTCATAATATGCGTCACAGGATTAAGTCTTTTACATTCATCCAACAAACTTTTAGCCACCCTTCCCGAAGAAAGTGGTACGACCGAACGATCAAAAGGTCATTAGAATAGGGGAAAGTCCCTTGAAGTACAAACCCAACCCTCCCGGCATGAGTGTTGTACATCATTCCCAGCCTCAAGCATAATTATTGTACACAACTTCACAGGCTCAAAACTAAGCGCGGTGCAAAGATGTTTACACTATTGCTAAGGAAGGTTTCACTGTTATGCTGTGCAGTATATCAGCATGATGTCATCACTATTATTTGCCCAATGTCAAGTAAGAGAAGTGCAAGACGTGGTGTTTGGGGCTTGTCATGTTAAATAGTGGTGGATGGAAGTATATGGATGTAAATGGTTGACCTTGTCATCCTCTATTGCCTCATAGGTGGCACAATAGCGCTAGTGGGTACAGACTTTAGGTACATGACACGTAAAAGAAAGATACTGGACGGAAACATCAGATTGTCTTTGACCAGTTATCCTCCAAAGAAATTTCCTTTGAAAGGTCTTAAAACGGTACTGCAAGGAAATGGTTTGGTTTGAAATAATACGTTAAACTTTGTTTCTCCATTGCTGAGACTAATTTAGGACAAAAACAGTAATGTTTATCAGAATTCTGACTCGTTCCAATACGTCACGAGAACTTTTTATCGCACTTGAGAATCTTACACATTAGGACGAAACAAATCAAATTGCCATCATTGAACCTAGTCGCAAAAAGCAGGTGAGAGTCCCTGCTTGTACAAAAGGAATCCTCCCAGTATTGATGTTGTACAAATGTCAGCCGGCTCATGACGTAGCTATTGTACACATCGAGCATTGTACGGAGTGGAGACACAGTACGCAGGTTATGTTTACACACATTCGGTGGCAAAGAACACCTTAACTTCATGGCACAAACACAACCCTCTCAGCGTGGATGTTGTACATGATTCCTAGCCTCTAAACGTAACAAATTGTAACAAAACGCACATAACGAACTTGGTCCAGAGAGCAGACAAAGTAACAATGTTAAGTTTACATACACTCGATATTTTTGTATCTGTATAACCGGTATATATATATAACCAGGCTTTTCGGCGTAACACACCAGCCTTTGTATCTGTATAGCCGGTATAACCGCCATTCTGCGTAACACACCAGCTTCTGTATCTGTATAGCCGGTATAACGGCCCTTCAGCGTAAAACACCAGCTTCTGTATCTATATAGCCGGTACAACCACCCTTCGGCATTACACCAGCTTTGCAGGCACACGGCGTTAGTCATACGATGTGATCTGGTCTACTATTTCCATACAAGATTGTTGAAACAAAATGCTGAACGGTTCACAGCGCCGCCCTACAAAACGCCAAATCACAGGGGAAGTCCCTACATGTACAAACCCAACCCTCCCAGCATGACTGTTGTACATCATTCCTAGGCTCAAAACGTATCTCTTGTATACAACTCCACAGGTTTGAGAGTAGGCTCGGTGAAGAAATGTTAATACTGTTTAAAGGAGGGTTCACCGTTTAGCCGAGCAGTATGATAGCATGATGTCATCACTGTTGCTTGCTCAGCGTCAGGTAAGAGATCGTCCACGTGCATGGCGTGGTTTCGGGGTACTGATGTCAACTCTACCTGTCTGGTAAATACAAACAGCTATAAATCCTCTATAACTTGCCATCCTCTATTTCAAGTTCAAGTTTATTTATTTTACCAGGGAGTACCTCAGATCCGTTGATCTGATTTTCAGGTATCCCTGGGCACACATAAAAAATCACATAAGTTGAAAACAACAATATACAAATAATGTTACAAACATTTACATGTACAAAACAGTCATAGTATAGGCACATTTAGTTCATTCATTTGCCAGGTTCAGTCCTAAAGTCTGCAGTCCTCTACAGCCTATAACTTTATAGCTCACAAAAACACCAGGTCCAGGTAACAATGCGGGCGCGCAACGCTGTCTACTAACACTTGTGTCTCCCCTAACCCAATATGAAAGACGTAGAAGAAGCCTGCGTGCCTGTGTGTACAACTTCTACTCACTGGTTTCAGGAATAGAGAACCACAAAAACTATATCTTCAGCATCTAAGATAAAGCGTTGCTAAAAACAGCAAACAAATGCTGCAAGTATAATAGGGGATCTCACATAAACGCAGACTAGAGGGAGTAGAATTTGTTTTTAAGTTTCTCCTATTGAAAAGTCTCGCCACAGAGTCACTGTTTGCAGAGGACAGAGGAAGAAAGGAACCGGAGGAACCGGCGTGTTCAAGGTCAACTACAGCCGGGAGCGAAAACAAACTGGAGTTGAAGAAATTATAGGAGCGTTCTGTAGTATTTGGCAAGATTATGCATTGCCAAAAGGTCTACAATTCCTGGCAAGGTGAGAGACGACAGCAGTGGTCGGACATGTATGTATGTATGTATGTATGTATGTATGTATGTATGTATGTATGTATGTATCTCGGGTGTTTTGGCGGAGAAAGCTGCAGCATCCATCCTGTAGCTTTAGCTTGGTGTTGCTAAAAATAATAAGGAGCATCCGAATGTTAAAGAGAAAAACTGCTAATTAATCATTCACGTAATGCTGTATAAACTAGACTGAGATAATATGACGGAAGTTGTACGAAAATTAAAAAATAATGTAAAAGTCTTGAGATCAATACATAGAGATAAACAATTAAATTAGTCCTAACATTTAAAAAAATGTTAGGACTAATTCAATGTGTGAGTTCTGAGCGCAGCCTATGTATTACGTTAGGTTAACAATCATCTAAGATATACACGATATATAAGGTGAACAATCATCTAAGATATACCCGTCCCACACTAACCACAGCCAGTATACCGGCAAATCGTCCTGAGGTCATTCACCCCGTTACTACGGAGTGCGTCATCGCGTGCGCTATGAATCATGGGAGACCTACCGAATCTTATTTGCCCTTCTCACCTGCGTACGTAACGGACCAGCTCTGTCTTCAAGACGCCGTGAGAACTCACCTGTACGTCTTGAGACGTCAGAACTAACAGCCTTCGGTTCCTGGAGAGTCTAAGAGCCCTTCAGAGACCTTAAAGACTGGGAAAAGGTCGCCAACCTCTCCCAAGACACTTCTGGAAAAGTTCAGGTAAACCCGGAAGTAACAGGTGCATAACCTGCCAGATCTAGCAGCGCCTGAAGTACATAAACTAAAGAAACTTTTACCACAGCCCTTTAGCACACAGATAAACTGTTGAAGTTGAATGAATTAGAAAGTATTGACACTATGTCTGTATGGCTTTGAAATTATCGCTCCTTTGTTGGTACAGTTTGATCTACAGTGTTCGGAAACGCTTGAGAAACCATGATAATTTGTAAATCAGGTATGTCCTGAGCGCGCTGTACATGATGCTTGGTCTGTTCCACTACCATAATATTGTTTAGGGAGAGAAATGATATATTTGTGGGTAAGATGTGTTTGTGCTACAGGAAAGCATTGGATCCATCTAGTCTTACTTACGACAGGTGTCACTAGGCAGGTGGTGTGTATCTATCTGTAGGGTCAGACCAGGCATGGACGGAAGAGAACAGGAGACAATGGAGGAGAAAAAGGAGTCCGGGTCAGAGGATTCCGGGTCTAAAGAGTCGAGTTGGAAGAAAAGGAAGGAAGACGAGGAGGTAGAGTAAAAGAATACGTTATAAAAAGAGTAGTGATTTTACACACAGACAAACCCCACAGTGCATATGGTGGTGTATATCTATAACAGGCCTGATGTAGATGGTCCTAACCTCCTTGCGACAGGACAGCTCGATAGTCTTTTCTTTTACATTTATCTGTACATACTTTGAATGTTTTTTTTTCACATGTGTTTGTGTCATGTTATGTGTCTGTATACTATGTGCCGTTGAGTCTGAAATAAACAATAAACATATGTGAGCTATGCACAAATACAGGAGATAAATGATATATCTTTTTATAACTTTGCACTGAGAGACATGAAAGGAAGTGAAATATCATTATGACGGATAAATGAAGGGATAGGTGTTGAATCTTGATGAGTGTTGTTCTGATTGGCTGAGTGTTGACAGTTGTTTCTCCTGTTCCTGTCTGCCGCCGCTATAGGCGCTGCGGGAGGCTGCAGAGGAAGGAAACACGGACAGAGTGAAGCAGCTGTTAGCGGGGGGAGTCAACCCTAATGCTGCTGGTGGCTCTTTGGTATGTTGCCATGTCTTTCGTCACTTTGCTTATATATGGTGATGAAGCATTTAAGGCTGTGCAATGAAAATCAAGAGGCAGGAGGGGAAAACCACTTATAAAAGACACAGATGGGAAGGGCAAGGCCGCACTGGTCGCTGCACCTGTCTTCAGCTTTCAGCTTGTCTGTAACATATCCGTAACATTTTACAAAACAAAGCAATATTTGGAAATTTCCACATTTGTGCCAGTAGCTTCAGCAGCTCCAACTTTACTTCTACTAGTTTACTTCTTACTACTTACTACTAGTTCCCGCCATGATGTGTTTTACAGCAACGGACTCCTCTGCACTGGGCAGCCAGGAATGGTCACCCTGAAACTGTATCAGCTTTGCTGGCAGCTGGTGCAGATGTGAACGCACGGGACGATTATGTAGGTAGACTAAGTATTGTGATACAAGAAATATTTCTGTACCATTTTGTAAGATTTGACATTCATTTTTACATAACGGTTGATGTGCTGACTACCTTTAGAGCTGCCACCGACATGAACATTTGTTCGTTCTGTTGTCGTGCTAAAGACCATTTAATGTCAGTTGTATAGCAGTTTACTTGCTGAACTCCGTTAGAATTGTCAACAAAATAACTGCACATTTGCCCGACCTGTTGTCATGCTGAAGACCATCTGATGTGTTTTACAGCAAAACTCTCCCCTGCACCTGGCAGCCCTGTATGGTCACCATGAAACTGTATCAGTTTTACTGACAACTGGTGCAGATGTGAACGCACGGGGCAATAGGGTAGGTAGACTGACCACTGTGACACTGAAATATTCTTATGTCTCTTATAGGATTTGACATCTATTTTCAGCTGTATAGTAGTTTACTTGCTGAATTACGTTAGAATTGTCAAACAAATAACTGCACATTTGTCCGACCTGTTGTCATGTTGAAGGCCATCTGATGTGTTTTACAGCAAGACTCTCCCCTGCACCAGGCAGCCTGGAGTGGCCACCATGAAACTGTATTAGTTTTACTGGCAGCTGGTGCAGATGTGAACGCACGGGGCGTGTCGGTAGGTAGACTGATTGCTGTGAAACAAGAAATATTTCTGTATCATCTTGTAAGATTTGAGATTCATCTTCTCAATCTTCTTACTTAGTGGTTTATTTCCTGTCTACAATCTAACTTGTTGCCAACATGAAGCCCGTGCGGTTTTGAACGCATGGGGCTGAATACATCATACATTTTTTTGGTGCCATAAAGCTTGGGTTGAACATACATTATCATGCATATGGTGCCCTGTATATGTACAATTTAGGGTTATTTTCATGAAACGCATCACACCGCAGCGAAACGCAACAAATGCGGTAGTAACTACAAGATCATATGACAAGAAAAGGTCAGCGGTCGATGACCTGATTAAGACATAAAATCATTGAAAAATACTGTGCATACATTTCATCAGGATAATATTTATATTGTAGTGTTACCGTTATTATCCATTATTAGAAACAATCAGTAGAAAAGGCAAAGCTTAGGGAAGGGTTTCAAGCTAGTTTGGAGCCAGTAAGTGATGTAAATATATATTTATAAGGGGTTGCTATTTGATCATGCTAAGGATGAATAATTGCACTGTTAATGCTCCAACAGGACTACACACCCCTCCATGACGCTGCTAGACAGGGTCACCCCAAGTGTGCGGAAATACTGCTGCAGCACGGGGCTGATGCCGGTCTCAAGAACGAGGTCAGTCAATACTTCGGCTTCTTTGGCAAATAAATGACCACCAATGCAGAAATACAATATTGGCTTTACTTCGTTTGGGAGAAAATCAAAAGTAAGACCTTTAAAATGATGATCCACTTAAATACATACATTACTGTCCGAGGCAAGGAGGAAGCTGTTGTTGGAATAAACACACAAACCACGATATTCCTGCATCGTATCACATAAACACCTACGATCGAACAAACCAATTTCTTTCTAAACATGGGTTTTGCTGCCGTACCTACTGTATATGTTTTAGATGCTTAATACATATTGCCGTGTTTATTTGCGAAATTTCAACATTCATGAGCATGTTCATTCCTAGGATGGTCGAACGGTGGAGGACATCGCTTCAGATGAGGACACCAGTAAAGCTTATCCGAACTACGATAAAGGCCGAATCATTCGTGGTAGAAAGGAAATACTGAAGCTTCTCCGACAACAAAATAATGTGAGTCGATTCAAAACTAACGTGATGCAAAATCATAAAGCATCATATCTAAAGAATATGATTGAGATGACTGTAAATTTCTTGTCAAATACTTCGGTTGAAAAACAACTGCTAATAATATTAAACTACAAGTTCAAGATGATATAAAGTTGTTTTTTAGTTCCCCTGGCACGCATGCTAGTATTTGAATTGCTGTATTCTGCTTGGCAGGCTGGATAGATATGCATTATGACTATCATCAGAATTGCGTAGAACAATTTAGTTACGAGCGCACTTGAAAGGCATGTGATCTATCTATAGAGACATGTACATGTATTAATGATACATGTCCAATTTTATCCTACAACAATGACTAGAAGTGTTTAAGAAAGAACTGTAGAACCGCCCTCATACCAAACAAAACTCACTTTCACGTGTACATGTTTACAGGAAGTCTCCACACGTAAGAAAGGCTACGATCCTGTACTCGTCCGGTTCTACGAAGAAAGCGGAATGACCGAGGTGAAGATGGATTGTCCGTTGATAGAAGAAGCAGCTAAGCAGAGCGGGAAAACTGTTGACCAAGTAAAGGTGTGTTTTAGTGATGACTGGTTGATCCCTTGAGCTTAATCAGTTGTATCTTCCTAAAGACTAAAACGTTTTGTGCTGTTCGAGATGAGGAGCTTTAGCTGGAATTGTTGGAGTAACTCGTGCGCTATTTTCTGTAGCAAGAGTGTTAGCCTTCTGAAATCGTACCTCTGTGCCTGAAATTAATTGTGATTCATCGTTTCGTTGTATCATCTTGGGTAACAGTAATGTCATATGTAATGATTTTTCAGAACTTCATCGGTAACTATCGTAGGAGTAAGAGCGGCAGTAAGCGGAGCCTCCCCACAGACGACATGGGGGCTGAGAACATCACGGGACATCGTGAAGACTTAGGGATGTCGGTAAAAAAGGGTAAGGTACAACACGTAACTATTTTAGCTGTGAAATATTTGACTCAGTAGATCGTTCTATCTAATCAGACGTCGGCTTCACGAAAGTGCACGAGACGCAAAGTGATATTATAAATGTTAAAATTTTCTCATCCAGGAGACAGCAGTGTTCCACTCGAAATACAGCTGCGGGGTCCTGGAATGCAGCAGCTGTACTCCCAGGCCTGCCGCCAGGGGGCGCGACCGGTGCACAGCGTGCGCGGGCTCGTGGTTGGTCAGTTCAGATCCGGGAAGACGTGTGTCGTCAGGAGGCTGACGGGAGAGAAGGCTGTGGAGAATGAACCGATAACAGACGGCATCGAGATTTCACCCAGCGTGAAGACCAAGACTTGGCGAAAGGCAAAAGGTCCTAAAATATGTTAATATCTATCACCTGGCACGACATTATAGTTCTTGCTACTTAGAGAGTTTCGGCCCGTAAGTACGTGTCATGAAATGATACATAATTATTTTGCATCTAAAAAAAACATCATATCACAAAACAACATGAATACCATGTTTGTTCAAAATGAAATTGCCAAACGAGTCTCAGCTGTAACAACGAATCATACGGTACATGGCATATATTGCTTACAGAAGAGCCAGACGAATTCAAGGAAACCATGGCAGAACGCTTGGCGGAACAACAAGAACGGGACAAACCACGCACCGGGACATCGTCAGGAGCTCAAGCAGCAGTCAGGAAAAATTCTACAGGTATCCAATATCACTTTTACATATATCAATATGTAAATGTGTACATTATATCAATAGACATAATATACACATGTACAGGGCAAAAATGTTAACGCACACAGCCAGGGGAACGACGGTTAAAAACTTAGCGTTAAAAAAATTAAAAGTATGAGGTTTTATTCATTAATCTAAAATGTATGCACAGAACAAGAGAATTGACACCTATATATTCACACCTCATCATCTACGTATTGCTAAAGTTCTCTCTCTAGAAAAACACATGAAGAGACGAAGGGACAGTGATATCTCACTGACTTTCTCGTGTTCATATAAGATGCAGAAAAAGCACAAAAAATGACAAGGAAACGGAATCAGCAGGAAAAACCACCGAAGGACGAGACGCCGACGCAAAGTCAACAGACACCAAAACTGCAGAAAGAAGGTGAGAAATTCATTATTAGATGTTTTCACAAGTAAGAAATGCACATTATAGAAGATGTAGAAAAGGGAACTTGTTGCTTTACGTTAGACGGTTCTTTGTTGTAAATGTATGTCTTTGATCCCAAGTAAAAACTTTTTGCAAGTGAAGTAATTGGCCTCTTCAGAAAAGATGCAAAAGATTTTGAATGGCATTAAAATTGTAAGATCGATTGAACAAGACACATCTTCCGTTGCAGCGAGAGAAGAAAGTGTGGTTACGACTACGTCACGACAAACACAAGACATGCCGGATGATGCCAAAATAAAAGCTCAACAGCGACTTCAGAGTGACGTGACGGTTCAAAAGCAAACACCAGAAATTCCGCTGGATGTCTTCGAAAAAGCCAAGAAGCTACTCCAAGGTGGCGTGACCGAGGAGCAGCTTGGAACAGCCGAACACCCGCGTCTCTACCTCTGGGACTTCGGCGGCCAGGCCACGTACTACGGCTCGCACCAGTGCTTCTTCACGTACCGCGGGATCTACATCCTGGTCATGTCACTGCTGCAGAAGCTGTCTGACCCTGTTCCTGATCTGGACTACAAGGCGGCAGCGGACAATCTCGTAACTGGAAGAGGTACGTACCACTATATAATACTTCTTTAACTGTGAACCTGCATGTAGATGGTCGACTTCAAAGCTTGAACATGGGAATCAAAGAAAAAGTTAAATCACAAGATATGTAACATTGTTAAGCTGAAATGATTAGGCAAATATAATTTCGTACAAAAAATGATACGACATCTCTACTTGTCCAGACTACTTGGACCACTGGCTGAACTCAGTCCGCACACACACCCTGGTGCACGGGCGGGAGCAGACAGGAGAGCCGCGTGTCGTCTTGGTCCTCACGCACAAGGACAGAGTCGATGAGGTATGGGGAATGTTTTCGTAAGTCTACGAATAATCCTAGGTTGTCTTTGCCCTAAAACTTTAATTAATATTCTTGGCTGCAAGGATCAGCCTTGGGTTGTTTTCTCAAATTGATTAACAGTACTTAGAGGTCCCCAAAAGAAATTCGTGCTCTTGATTTCAGTCAAACATTGAGGAGTACAAGAAAGACATACGTGATCACATCAGTGGTAAGGCTGCGGGTAAACATGTCTTGCCTAAGATATTTGTCATCGACAACTTCAACGAGGACAACAGTGACATTGACGAGCTCCGAGAATACCTCCGTGAGGTGGCGAAGGGTCTGTGGTTCATGGGCCAGGAGGTGCCGATGACTTGGCTTCATCTGAAGTCCAAACTGATGGACAAGAGGAGAGAGGACGACCCATTCTGCCATTTCCAAGATGTCGTCGATCTGGCCCGGAGTGATGACGTGGGCATCACGGATGACAGCCATGTTGCCGACATTTTGACCTTCCTGCACGACCTTGGTGACATCATCTTCATCAACGAACCCGTTCTACGTGATCACGTGGCCCTTCGACCTCAGGTGATGATTGACGTCTTCAAGACCATCATCACCGTCCCGGAGTACCAACAGGACAGGAGCACGGATGGGGAGGTTGCCGAGATGTGGAGGAGGCTGGAGAAGGAAGGCATCCTCAGTGACAGGCTGTTGACAATCATCTGGTCCAAAGCAGATCAGAAGATGCAGAAACCCTTCCTACTGCGGCACAAGCACTTCCTGAAGCGACTGATGGAAAAGTACTACCTACTCTGCAATGCCACGCCTATCGGTGGGTTTGATGACACTTCGGGTGATCCTAAGAAAGAAGAGATCTACTTCGTACCGTCTCTCCTGGCCACAAAGCCTGACGATAGCACCTTGTATCCTGGGCACATGAGGAGATACCGACATCCTCTGTATGTCGTATTCGACAACATGTTCCTCCCAAGTGGCATGTTCTATCGTCTACAGGCCATTTGTGTGCGCAGGTTCGGTCTTCAAGAGTCCCACGTGTTCGCCGGCTGCGGCCGCTTCCCTACCGACGATGTAAAACAACAGTTCGTGCTAACCAAAGTGCAGCATTACCTGAAGGTGGAGCTTCTGTCGGCTGAGGAGCAGCCAGTGTTTACACAGGGCCTTCCCGTTAGAAAGTTCCTCAGCAGTTGTCTCTTCGAGATCAAGGAAAAGTGGATCCCGTCCATCCAGTATGACTGGTGCTTTGGGGAGGAGTCAGAAAAAGAAACAGGAACGCCAGTATTCTACCCACTGTCTGACATCGAACAAGAAACGGCAACGGGATCCAGTCGGTGAGGACGGCTATATTTTCAATTTTTTCTCAGTTAACAAAACAATTTTATTTAAAATAAATATCAAGCTTCTTACATGTTTGTTTGACGGTATGACACAAGATGTTCCTAACCATGGTTTACTAACTGATATTTTTTTATCTCAGTTTTCCAGAAGACTTCATCAATGTCTGGATACGTGGCAGAAGTGATACGACAATGTTCTGTGCAGGTAAAAACATTCAGATGTCTGATTTTGTGCAGCTCATCTTATTGAAGTAGTGTTTTAAATCGTTACTGATAAAACATGTTATACATGCAGAAAACTCAGGTGGTTCCGGACCCGTGATGATAGAGCCCACGCTGAACCCAGACGCAGTTCACACGATTGGCCCTGTCCTGGACTGTATGGAGACCTGCAGAGGGCTGAGTCTGGCGCAGTGCGATCGGATCAGACACGAGCTCACATCCGTCAGCAGGTTCAAAGAGCTGGTTGCCACCGTCGACAGGTCCGGAGACACGTGTCGTCGCTCGCTGGGAGCGTCCGTGGAAGTTTGTCTGCCTGAAAGAGCACCCATGTTTCCCAGGGAAGAGAGAGGTACGTCTTCCCTGGCTGTAGTGTGAAGCCTCTGATTTAAATTCCTCCTTCCGTGATGCTTTGTCCTGTTTAAAAGCTTGTTTGTCTAACACTTTGTTCATACATTAAAATACTAATGTTTACCTTTATTCCCAGGGAACGAAATTGTTCTCCTACACACCGGAGACTACAATGACAAGCTCGTGCAGCCACTGTTGAAACAGGCAGTCCAATCGTCCAGCAGGTACGGTGTAACAGTGTCTGAGGACGTCATCGAACCAGGAGAAACCATCACAGACAAACTCTTGCACCATCTTCTCCAACGGAACGTCAGGATGGTTGTACCGATCATCACACCCCAGACTCTCCACAGCAGACACTGGTCCACGCTCGGGTACGAATTCTGCATACAGAACAAGAACCTGGTCTTCCCGGTCTTCGCGTACCCTGAAGGAACCAAAGAGCGTTTGCTAGAGGTGTTCGGCAGGCGCTGTGCGGGGATGTTGGATATGGCATCAACAGAAGTACCAATGACTGAAGAAAAATTGTCCAGTAGTAAAATCAGTCTCACTACTGCACAAATCCTGAGGAAGGTGCGTTAATATTGGTAGTCATGATCATTGTGCATGATACTATTCTTGAAAGTCTACTTTGTTTTCAGACAGAATGACTAACACAGTATTGTTTCTACAGGCGTCGTCTTCTGTTGTTCTGTACACACGCCAGATCACAGCTGCAGGCTGCACGGTTGTGGAGGATGGTGTCACTATCGTCTTTCCGAAAGGATGTGTCAAGAAGAAAAGGTTCATGTCTTTGGAGGTAAGATTGTCTTTGTTTCCGTTTGAATTGTGTTACTATTTACTGTAGTGTATGTCGACTTTTTTCTATGTCTAATATAGTTATATATAGACCGACCTTGGAATCACTCCTAGTGACAGCTTTGCCTTCTTGACAAACTAGTGGAAACCAAAGCTTCTGTAATTATGTGTTCACCACACCACGAAGTGGTGACGTGAAACCATATTGCTTTTTCTGGTGTTTCTTCTCCTTCTCCTCCTTCTTCTCCTGCCATTTTTTAAATGGATTCAGCTTCTTCATTTTAGGGCCTTAGGTCCTGAAATTTGGTTTGGAGGTACAGTGGGCAAATACCCCTAGGCATGTTTTAAATTTTTGTGATACAGGCTTTTAGAATGGTTTTATTTGAGTTTTTTGGCTGTGTTATAGCAAATGTATTACTGTGTTAGTGTGCCATGTTTACCACGTTTGGGTATGAGTCATCACAATGGAATGCAGGGCATGCAGCTTTCCTCTATTCTTCTTGCTGATTGGCTATTGGGATTTAACTTGATTAACACCTGCACAGAGCATTTCCACCTGCACAGAGCATTTCTTGCTGATTGGCTGTTGGGATTTAACTTGATTAACACCTGCACAGAGCATTTCCATACT